GTGTGCGCGCGCATGTGTGCGTGTGCGTGTGTGCGTGCGCGCGCGCGTGTGTGTGCGTGTGCGTGTGTGTGTGCGTGTGCGCGCGCATGTGTGCGTGTGCGTGTGTGCGTGCGCGGGCGGATGTGCGCGTGTGTGTGCCATCACAACAAGTAGCCGGCTTGTCATCTCCTGCTGACCCGCTGCTGCGGTGGCACAGTCCGGTCACTATGCTACGCGAAGACAACGCGCACTCATCCCAGACGAGACTAACAGGGCATTCATACAAACTGCGCGCGGGGACAGGTGTGGGGTCTGTTGCGGGGGGCTCTATTGTAGTAGATGCGGCCGTGCCTGCCGACGAGATAGAGATAACACTGGTAGGGCGATTTATTACGCGTGAATCGCGTGACAGCGAGACGATGGTTGCATCTTCTGCTTAAATCAACTTTCTCACACTGTAGTCTCACTACGGGAGGCGATCTTAGAATCTGTCAAGGAGACTGCGCGTAATTATCAGTGATGAATGTGTAAACATATAGTTAACAAGAGAAACGCGCCAAGGACAGTTCCACGCGCCCGCCATTACGTTGATGATTTCGCGGAAGAGTTGACACCGTGATCATGCGCACGTAATCTACAGCGTTAAGTGACAACTTTGGAAACGATTTACCTTCGTTTATAATTACGCAACCAGTCGGCAAACATTACTCGCGTCGCCTTGTATTTGCACGATGCAATTTCTTATAGCGAAAGCGCCGCCCAGCGAACAGTTGGTATGCATATTTGTTTTGTCGTTTTTGCTTAAATTATACCCGCCTCACATCGACGTCACGCTCACTAAATGTCAATACAAAAGATATGTGCCTGGCGAGTATTCGCTTTCATCTTGAACCTTTTTGTACTATCTTTATTTATTTCTTACATCTTTTTTTTTATCTTATCTCTACATCGTTTCCTTCCATAAGGCCATCTATTCATGGCATTGTTGTGCTCACGCGATCTCACACGCTTCTCGATTTCGTTACTCGTGTCTTACTTCGCTCGTGTGAAAAATTCACCTAGATTCGCGCACAGTAAATCCATGTCCATCTAAATTCCTCGCCTGAATAAAGGCGACAGGAGTCGGCCAGTGGCCCGCTTATATACACGGGACTTGCAGCACCGATGACGATTATCGAACCCAACTTCCTTCCACATCACGAACACGTGTTATGTACCTGTGTG